TGTGTTAGAGAAAACTTGGAAGTATAATTTTCTACTTTTTTTTTTACAAGTTACTCCCTCCGTCCCGCTAAGATTCTCTCACTTTTCCTTTTCGTAAAGTCCTAATTTAAGATCGTCTCATACCAATTTTGGTAAATTTTGTGTGGCTCTAAATCGTTCTTACTTTATTCTTATTTTATCAATTCAAAATCAGCCACATAAACTCACTATTCTTAATAACTATGCTGCCTCTTAATATTTCAATGTTAGTAGGAAGGAGGTAGTATTAACAATTTGGTGTTAAATTAAGGCTAAAGGGTCAAATAGGCCCCTGAATTGACTTTTAAGTGTTCAATCAGTCCCTTATATAGGAGGTTCTGCCCGGCCGTCGCCAATTGGGGCAGTTCCCGGTGGAATTTTTTGATGAAAGGTTTTGAGCATCTTCTTCGTTAAGTCTAGTTTACCCATACCAAATTTCAGCTAAAAATTCAATCGGGAAGGCAGTCAAATGATTTTTTGAAGATAACTGCGAAGTTAAACAATGCGGTACATTTCGGAAAATCATTTGAATGCCTTTCCGGTTGAATTTTTAGCTGAAATTTGGTATGAGTAAACTAGACTTAATGAAGAAGATACTCAAAAAATTTCATCAAAAAATTCCACCGGGAACAGCCCCAATTAGCGACGGCCGGGCAGAACCTCCTATATAAGGGGCTAATTGAACACTTTAAGTCAGTTCAAGGGTCTATTTGACCCTTTAGCCTTAAATTAAAGTTGGAAGTATGGAGACATACACGGAGGACCAAGGCGTTTAGACTGAGTTGAAGCAATACTAAGTATACAGAGTGCAAGTTTGGTGGAAGTAGATGCAGTAGTAGTGGGATTACCCTCCAGCTCCTCCAATCCGCTTGCACGCAAGTCACAGGTGAACATTGCAAGCACAATGGTGAAGTACTCTAGAGAGCCAGACAATCACACCAAGTATTGTAAAGCCGGAGGCTCTGATCCAAGGGTTCATTTCAAGAACACTAGGGAAACAACTCATGCTATCATGAAGTTGCCTTCAGACTTCAGTGAAGGCTAAAAGGTATTTGGAGGATGTTTTGGCACACAAGCAAGCCATCCCCTTCACTCGTTTCTGCCATGGTGTGGGACGAACTGCACAGGCAAAGAATAGACACCCTAATGGACAAGGATGTTGACCTGCAAAATCTGCAAAGTTTATTCTTGATTTGCTCAAGAATGCTGAAAGCAATGCTGAGGTGAAATGGTTAGATGTAGATTCCCTAATCATTTACTACCTCCGTCCCACTAAGTTTGGGACAATTCGGTTTACAATGCTTGACTGACAATAAAGCAAATAGATCCCTGTCCGCACTCAAATTACTTTTATAAAAAAATATATTCAGAAACTACATTAAAAGCTTTACAAAGTCACACAAAACAGAATCAAATTTGATAAAAAAAATTGATATATAAAGTAAGAGATTAAGAGTGATTTGTGTTGACCAAGTGAATATTGTCTGGGACAATCTTAGCGTGACGGAGGGAGTACCATATTCAAGTGAATCAAGCACAAAAGCAAAGGTGATGCACATACCGTGCTCATGGGAGAATTAACCCATACATGCATGTCATCTCCCTGCCACATTGAATTGATCTTGTTTGAAAACGAAGAACCTGTCAAGAAAGAGCCCGAATCTCAGCTGGTGACAAGAAAATCCGGAAAGGCTTAGCCATTCAGTCATACAAAAGAGGAGTTAGAATTTCCAGATCATTTTTGCATTTTTACTCCATTTTGCGTGAAATCCATTTGAACTAGTTTCTTACATAGATCTTGTCTCCAAGAATGATTTTTTTATATAGAAAATAGCCTCTCATTAATTCAACAAATCATTCGCCAATCAGCTTACAATATCATCAGTAGGAATACTAAAATTGTTATCATGACCTGGCTTAGAAACAAAGGCTCTAGCTAAAGCATGAGCTACTTGATTCGTAGGTCGTTTACACCATAAGATTCTTAGGTCATCATTTTCCTTTAGTAAATATTTAGCATCCTCTAACATTAATCCCACCTAAGAAATCTCGAGATCATCTTGTATACTAGAAATCACCATAGCAACATCTGTCTCAACTTCAACTCGCACCCAACCATACCATAGCAGCATCTGTCTCCAAGAATGATTATTTTGCATTGTTTATGCTTTTTTGTTTTTGAAGGACCTTTTGATTATCAGTTTGATAAATTACATTGCTTTTTGGGGTTCAAAGGAAATAAAAAAAGTTGGATTACTCTTGGTTACAAGGAGATACTAGTATGTGATATGTTCAGCTACTTGACCTCCATATTTCAGAAGGATTGTAAATTAGATGGTGGATGTATCCCATATAACCCGAGCATGGTGGATGAAATGGAAGAATGCATAAGGAGTTCTATGTGATCGAGGCATGCCGACTCGATTAAAGGGTAAATTTTATCGGACAACAATTAGGCCTACATCAATGTATGACATAGAGTGCAGGGCGGTAAAACAATGTCACATTGAAAATATAATGATGATGATGATGAGAAGAAATAATTACATATTTATGACAAAAATAAAAATTCTTTACAAAAATGTGACTAGTGATTAGAAGAGTAATGGAATCATAGTAACTTATGTTGAATTTTTAAACTTAAATAACCACAACACTACATTGAAGTAACTATTAGTCATATTTGTGTAAATAAGTTTTATTTTAGTAATACTTTTGAAAAACCCTTATGATGATGATGATGAAGATGATGATGATGATGGTAAAATCATGTTTGAACTTTTCTGATCTGATTTTAATTATTCTGATCTGGTCTAAATCTTTATGATCTGATCTTATTTTATCTGAATCTTCCTGATATGGTTTGAATTTTTGTGATCTAATCTGATTGAATCTCTCGAACATGAGTTGATCTAAATTTTTCTTATTTGATATGAATAAAATAAGAATATGCAATAAGTAATAAGGATAAGACAAATAACACATTTTCTAACTCTAATTCAACTGAATTAATTTTATGATTGCTGAATTGAACTTAGTACAATCTTTTTTTCCACCCGAAATAAAACACCCTAGGGTGCGGTAGATGACGGGTTCATCTACCTAAATTTATTTAGCCACAACAAAGTACAATTTTGCGTTATTGCTGCCCGAAGTAAAAAATTACGATTACAGTTGTTGGGCCTAAGTGGACCCGAGAGCACAATTGTCCAAAAAGAAAGAATATCAAGTTGATTTCAAACATAAAGGGGACAAAGGAATATTGTTCAATGTCCTAGCTTCTAGAGTGCTCGTCAGAGAGAGAGAGAGAGATAGTGTTGGTATGAGCTGCTGCGACGAGTGAGTTACTTCTTGTTGGGGGACCCGCCGTACAATACGAATAGTCAACCATAGTCAAACACATCCATATTATACAAGGCGTCATGAATATCATTCACACGTAAGTCATCCATAAACATACATAATAAGTAATTTAATACGCAGCGGAAAACATAGTTTGAAATCAAATGCCACACGGGGCAAACATGAGCACGCAGGCTCTAAAGTAAAATATCCATGAGCAAATTTATTAGTGTTCAAATCAGAATGGAGGAAGCACAGACCAAGTATTCTCTCCTGGAAATCACTCGATCAACGAGCACAGGAAGCAAGCTCTAGCCTCAACCTGAAATGGTGGTGGCACGCCCCCGAAGGGGTCAGTACTCTATAGGGCTATAAAGTACTGGTGCTGATGGCATCTAAGGGATATACAACAAGTATTTCAAACATAAGACCCTCAAATAGGGTGATAGTACGATATGATTGTAACCTCAAGTTACCCCATTTAAAAAAATATACTTACTTTATATCAAAGTCAAGTAGTCGGCCCGTAGGCCCATGTTTATTTAGAAATCACCATTTCCCATTCCCCGTGATTACTAATCACGACAACTCATAGAGTTCATCACATTACCATTGCATAGCAAGGGCTCGGCCCAACTACATTTCTATGCAATCCTTTATGTCAAGTACATCCTATCACATTTGCATAGCAAGGGCTCGGCCCAACTACGTTTCTATGCAAATCACAATTCACATGGCAAGGGCTCGGCTCAACTACATTTCCATGTAAATCACAATTACATGGCAAGGGCTCGGCCCAACTATGTTTCCATGCAAATCACAATTACATGGCAAGGGCTCGGCCCAACTACGTTTCCATGCAATCATGGAGTCCGGCTCTAATTCTTCATTATAGTCCAATTCCTAAGCAAACCTATGCCTAGAATTGACATCTCAATAATCTACCTTGGGTCATTCTTAATGACTGCCCATAACTTACCCTTAGCTTCTTACTAAGTCATTTTATACAATTGAAGTACATTCAAGTGCATTTCATACAATCCAATACTTAGGATCAATTCTATCAACAATTTCAAATAATCACTAACTAGTATTTCAATACTATTAAGATTATTGTCATCATACAAATATCCTCATTTTGTAATTCTCTACATATTTATAAGTATGTAGCAGCAACTTAAATATTCAACTTCAATACATAAATATCCATTTATGTATCCACATATTTAATACATGAGTATAATGCCTATTTCACAAAATAGTTCATTAATAACTCATTTAATCTCATATTATGCATACAACCTCAAATCATTTACAAATTCATTCACTGTCAACTATATCCATTTTTCATCAATATTTAGGTATCATAATCCATGAAAATCATGATTTAGGCATTTAGGTAATCTCATGCTTAACCTACAAATTGTAAGCAATTAGATGTCGATCCTCACCTTAATTGAGCTTTAAACTTTTCCTTCTTGATCCAATGGTCAAAGCTTCGGTTGTCACGCCCCAGACCGCAATCCAAGCGCGTGTACAACCGCCGTATAATCAAGTGACGTCACCCGCGAGTCAACCTCACTTGATTACACAAGGCGTTCGAGAATAATAATCCATCCATACTCAGTAGTAAACATACATAACAACATCACATTTAAACCAATGAATAGCGGAAGTATTCAACGGTAAGTCATAAGCCACAACCGGCCAATAACATGGGCATGCAAGCCCCAAAAGAATAGTTTATAACAAATAAAAATATCCATGAGCAATGTTTGGTAAATTGAAATAAAATGAGGAAGCACGAACCACGTCTTCCTTAATTTGATGTCACCCGTAGAAAGGTGCAGGTAGCAAGCCCTAGCTTCAACCTGAAAATGGTGGGCCCCCCCGAAGGGGTCAGTACAAGTACCGAGCGAGTAGCAGGCTAAATATAGAATAACTAGCGTTTCAAGTATAAGACCCAAACATAGGATGATACATATACTTATAGTCCTTCCCCCAAGTTTGAAATACATATTAGTATACATACACTTGGAAATACCCGACCCGTAGGTCATTGTTTATTTGGGAAAATAATAGTAGCCAATATCCTTGACTTAAATCCCAACCCACCCATATACCTATGAGTGTATAGAACTCCTCCTTGTTCAAATAAATTATCATAAGGACACCGCCCGGTCCTAGATCATTAAATGTAATCTATGAGTTTTGAGGATAACCGCCCGATCCTTGGGTACTCCACCCTATATAACCGAGTTTTGAGGATAACCGCCCGATCCTTGGGTACTCCACCCTATATAACCGAGTTTTAAGGATAACCGCCCGATCCTTGGGTACTCCACCCTATATAACCGAGTTTTGAGGATAACCGCCCGATCCTTGGGTACTCCACCCGACCTATGACTTACCACATATCACGCTAGATAGGGTCTATATCATATTTAGTCATTCATAACTAATTCACTACCTAAAGCTTATGTGTCACAATCCATGCAAATCCATGCAACCATATAAATGTATAATTAACTAATATCAACCGATATTAATTAATCCATTAACCATCGGTCAACGTTGTTGTTGACCGCCATCTCAAGTCTTACACTTATTAACTAATTCATCATATAATTAAGTTAATAATATCCATTTGTGCTTCTTTTACTCTTAAAGCAAATATGCATTATATATAATTTCTCATATCATATTTCATGCATAAACAATTATTCTTTTCATACGCACTTAACTATGTTAGCTAATCACATGTTTAAATATCTTTTGAACATCATTATGAACACATATAACATTCATTTAGGTAATCTCATAATTGACCCAAAAGTTATAAGATATTAAGCCGTCCACTCACCTTGAACTAGCGTTAAGAAGTTCTACCCTTCTTGGTTGAACTCCGGTGAAACTCCGGCGACTTTTGGTCAACTCCGGCGACAATTCCGGCGACTTTTCCAACTTTGTGAAATCACTTGAAATACCCTTTACAAGTGCCTAACAAGGTTTTATAATCATAAAACTCATATTAATACAAATAACCTCTAAAAGGTTATTTTCCGGTGAACCGGTCATTTTGGCTTCTAAGTCCGTTTTTGGACGTAGAACCACCTTCCAACCCATGAATCCATACTTATAACATATGGAACCATACTAAAGGTTCTTCATATGATATATACTTCATATGGTGGAAGAAAAATAAAGGAGAAGTTATAATAAGGTCATTACCTTAATTATTCACACTTTTCCTAACTTTTGCCTTCTTAAATCCTCCTCCTTGGACCACTAGAGCTTGAGCTCGAATTTGCAGCAATGGAGGTGAGTTTGGAAGCTCTTCTTATCTCCCTTGGGTGGCCTGGTCTAGCTAATGGGGTGAGGGGGTGATAGGATGGCCTTTTTGGCTCATCTCACCAATTATGTGGGGAAAGGGTCCCATCCTACCTCATGGTTGACCCTCCTCCCACCTTCCCTTGTCTTTGTAGACCCCAAGGGTCACATTTGAGCTGAATAAAACGTGGGATGGCCCCCACTCATGTGGGAGGTCATCCCTTTGTGTCCCGATGTGTACAATCGGTCCCGAAAGTTGTATTTTTCGGACTGTTTTAAATATATTTTATTTTATCGGGTCAAATAAAATATATTATGTGCTCTTACTCATTATTACATGTATAATGAATATACATCCCCCAACTTTAATTTATAAGCCTCCGAAGTTCAGTTCGGGCTGTTATCTGATAAATTACCAGTACCGGTAATTTGGGCTTCTTTTGACCAATCGGTCAACTCCGGGCCTTTCCATGGCCCAAATGAAATATACACCACTATATATTTATTATCTAGACCAAGATGAATAAAATATATGGTCTCGGGACAGTCGGGCGGCCCCCGCTCCTGGTGTGGGTCCCACGTGCAATTTACTATTCACGCGAAAGAAATAATAAAAATTTACAACTTCGTAAATTCATTAATCATTTAATAAGGTTCAATACATTATTTACATAAAAGTAAATATATTTGGGGACGGTGTTACAAGTTCACCCCCCCTTATTTGGGATTTCGTCCCCGAAATCCAAGTATCTAATCGAAAAGAAATGGGTATTGCTCCCTCATGGAGACCTCGGTCTCCCAAGTTTCTTCTTCGACTCGATCACTCCTCCAAAGAACCTTTACCATAGGAATCTCCTTATTCCTAAGCTTCTTCACTTGTTGACCAACAATCTTCACTGGTTCCACCGCATATTGCAAATCCTCACGGATCTCTACCGGTGGTTTCTCAAGAATATGAGATGGGTCTCGTATGTACTTCTTGAGCATTGATACATGAAACACGTCATGTATCTTCTCAAGTTCAGGCGTCAACTTGAGACGGTAAGCCACGGCTCCAATCCTTTCAAGGATCTCAAATGGACCAACATATCGGGGGTTAAGCTTTCCCCTCGATACGAATCGGATGATGCCCTTCCAAGGAGAAATCTTTAGGAAGACCTCATCACCGACTTCGAACTCCAACGGTCTCCGCCGTTTATCAGCGTAACTCTTCTGTCGGTCCTGAGCGGCCTTCAGTCTATCTCGAATGACCCTCACCTTGGCCTTGGTGATCTCGACTAGTTCCACTCCTTCGAGTTTGGCCTCGCCAACCTCGTCCCAACACAATGGTGTTCTGCATTTTCTCCCATACAATGCCTCATATGGAGGCATGCCGATACTTGCTTGATAACTGTTGTTATAAGCAAACTCCACTAGGGCCAAATGCTTGTCCCAACTTCCTTGGAACTCCAGCGCACACGCCCTAAGCATGTCTTCCAAAATCTGTATCACCCGTTCAGACTGTCCATCCGTCTGTGGGTGAAAAGCTGTGCTAAACTTCAGTTTAGTACCCAACGATGCTTGAAACTTTGGCCAAAATCGGGATGTGAATCGTGGATCCCTATCCGAGACAATGGATATTGGGACTCCATGTAATCTCACAATCTCCTCCGTGTATAGCTTGGCCAATCTTTTGAGAGGATAAGTAATGTTGATAGGCAGAAAGTGTGCACTCTTGGTGAGCCTATCAACCACTACCCATACGACATCGTAGTTGTTCACTGTTCGTGGCAGCCCCACCACGAAGTCCATGGTCACATGTTCCCACTTCCACTCTGGGATGGTGAGTGGTTGTAAGAGCCCTGCTGGGTGCTGATGCTCTGCCTTAACTTGCTGGCAAGTAAGGCATCGACTCACAAACTCTGCGATGTCTCTCTTCATACCTGACCACCAGTAACTTTCCTTCAAATCTCGGTACATCTTAGTACCTCCTGGATGCATAGCGTAAGCTGAAGAATGAGCCTCCTCCAGTATAGACTTTTGGAGTTCTTCATTCTTTGGTATGCATACACGATCCTTAAACAATAATAGACCGTCATCACGTACTCGGAAGTTCTCAACGGGTCCTTCAAGGATCCTTTCACGGATCTTCTGACATTCCTCATCCATGGCTTGACTTCGACTAATCTCGCCCAATAGGGTGGGCCTAACCTCAAATTGAGCAATGAGAGTCCCGCACGTGGACACCTCCACGCGTGCCCTCAATGCCTGCAGACAAGTAAGTAACGTCCCTGACGTACTCTTCCTGCTCAGTGCGTCGGCCACTACGTTGGCCTTTCCGGGATGATAGTCGATGATCAAGTCATAGTCCTTGATCAACTCCATCCATCTCCTCTGCCTCATATTCAACTCTCTCTGAGTGAATACATACTTCAAGCTCTTATGATCAGTATAAATGTGACACGTCTCCCCGTAGAGATAATGCCTCCAAATCTTCAATGCAAACACTACCGCCCCCAACTCTAGGTCGTGAGTAGGGTAGTTCACCTCGTGTTTTCTCAATTGCCTAGAAGCATAGGCAATCACCTTACCGTTTTGCATTAGTACACATCCAAGCCCTTGGATGCTAGCATCGCTGTAAATGTCATACCCTATCCCCTGTATGGGTAGGGCAAGGACTGGTGCTTCGGTAAGTCGTTTCTTCAGTTCAAGGAACCCTTTCTCACACTTGTCGTCCCATATGAACTTGGCCCCTTTCTTTGTGAGCTTCGTTAATGGAGACGCCAATACGGAGAATTTTTCAACAAATTTACGATAGTATCCCGCTAAGCCAAGGAAACTACGTATCTCTTTCACATTCTTGGGTCTCTCCCAATCCATGATAGCTTTTATCTTGGCGTTATCCACAGCTACGCCCGAACCGGATATGACGTGACCGAGAAAACCAATCTCCTTGAGCCAAAATTCGCATTTAGAGAACTTGGCAAAGAGTTGCCTTTCCCTTAGCCGATCAAGTATAAGCCCCAAATGATGCTCGTGCTCCTCCTCACTCTTGGAGTATATCAAGATATCATCAATGAATACTATCACAAATTGATCTAAGTATTCACTAAACACCCGGTTCATTAAGTCCATGAATGTCGCCGGTGCGTTGGTTAAACCAAATGACATTACAAGGAACTCGTAATGACCATACCTAGTGCGGAATGCACTCTTAGGTATGTCGCTCTCCTTGATCTTCAACTGATGATACCCCGACCTCAAATCAATCTTCGAGAACACTATTGCCCCCCGAAGTTGGTCAAACAAGTCATCAATCCTCGGTAAGGGATACCTGTTCTTGATTGTGACCTTGTTCAATTGTCGGTAGTCAATACACATTCTTAGTGTACCATCCTTCTTCTTCACGAAGAGTACGGGTGCCCCCCACGGTGAATGACTGGGTCTGATGAATCCGTTGTCCAATAATTCTTGTAGTTGGACCTTCAACTCTTGAAGTTCGGCCGGTGCCATTCGATAAGGAGGAATCGAAATGGGTTTGGTTCCCGGCTCCACTTCGATTACAAATTCAATCTCTCTATCGGGTGGAAGCCCCGGTAGGTCCTTGGGAAAGACGTCCGGGTACTTGCACACGACTCGAACATCCTTGATGTCGACTTCTTTCTTCGTATCATCTACCACATAAGCAAGGTACGCGTGGCATCCCTTCCTCATCATCTTTCGTGCTCTCATCACGGATATGATACAAGCATTAGATTTCCCCCGATCTCCTTCGAAACAAAGCGTGTTTCCTAGATCATCCTCGAGCTCCAACACCTTGGTGTAGCAATTTACTCGAGCATGTTGCTTCTCAAGCCAATCCATTCCTAGGATTGCATCGAACTCCAACATGCTTAGAGGTACGAAATCACAAGTCAAGGGTTGACCCGTCACCTCTACCTCACATGATGGATAGTAATGATTTCTCTCCACATCGTCCCCTAACGGTGTGGAGACTAGCAACGTTTGCGTCATAGGCGTCAATGGCACGTCAAGGCCCTCGGCGAACGCCTCACTCACAAATGAGCGTTGTGCCCCGGTATCGATGAGGATCCTCGCACACCTACCATTGATCTTTAATGTTCCTACATTTATACACCATGTAAGATACATTTTCTAATGTTTTTACATATCATTAGGATGTTATTAGGTTTATACAAATGTTTGGAATCAAACGGGGGTCCAACCGTAGAAGAACGGGGCGAAGAAATCAACTTTCGGGTGTTGGGGGTCCACGCACGGCGTGCCTGGGTGGCAGGCACGGCCGTGCGTGCGACAAACTCACCCTGCTGGCCACTGCCGGCCAGGCAAGATGCCAGGCACGGCGTGCCTGCGGCCGTGCCTGGCCAAAATTCTTCGGACGCCACTGCCTTCCAGTCACGACGCCAGGCACGGCGTGCCTGCGGCCGTGCCTGGCCCAAATTTTTTTTTTCCGGGTGCCACTGCCTTCCAGGCACGATTCCAGGCACGGCGTGCCTGCGGGCGTGCCTGGCCAGCAGTGGCTGTTTCCAGCCCGATTCGGCCTAACTCACCCGGCTCGACCCCGGGGTGGCCCGCACTCAATCCCAACGACGTATGTGATCAAAGTAAACCTAGAAATACATGGGAATACGCGTATTACCTGCAACGGAGTCCGGGTTTGCTCTCGCATCCGCCTCGGTCATCGCGTAGACTCGTGCTTGGGTCCCGCCTTGGTTTACGGACGCGGCATGACTTGTGGATGCGTTGCCTCTTCCCGTACCGCCGTTTGACGGGCCCGCACGGTTTCTTCCCGTCATGGTCCCTCCCCCAGCTCCCGAGGCACTCTCTTGCATCAATTGAGGGCAATTGGCCTTCATATGGCCCGCATTCCCGCACTTAAAACACCTCGGTGGTTCATTGCACTTCCCAAAGTGTTGTTTTGAGCAATTGGGACATCTAGGTGGCCCCGAGTTCTGTGGCCTAGGTCCGTGCCACCTCGCATCCCTATTCTTCTTCGCCGGTGGAGCCGGCACCTTGAATGAACCACCGCCACCACCACCACCCCCGTGGTTGTTCCTTCGAGAATGATCGGGTGGCCCCGAATTATTCCACTTCCTCTTCTTCGCCTCTTCGGCGTCCCTTGCCTTCCTCTCATTCCACTGGGCCTCTCCAAGCATGCCCTGCTCTACCACCTCACTAAAGGTCATGAGGCGGGAATACGTGGCACGGTCTCGGATGTCCAAGAGTAAGGCATCCCAGAAGTGCTCAGTCATGCGGTCCTCATTGATCGCATACTCCGGTAAGAACCTAGCCAAGGTCCTGAACTCTTGCTCCAGTTGCTTAACCGTGCAACCCTCTTTCTGCTTGAGGTTGGTATACTCCCTCCTTTTCACATTAACCTCGAAATCGGAGTAGTACTGAGCATAAAATTCTTGCTCAAAATTTTCCCATGAGATGTCCCCACGGTATTTCCCTTCTACACCTTCCCACCATGTAGAAGCCATCCCCTCAAGTAGCCGTGAAGCGACAGTTAGCTTCACGTCCGGAGTAATCTGCATGTCTCTCGATGCATCCTTCACCTTCTTGATCCAATCGGCGGCAACGGTAATGTCGTCGGTGCCGTCGAAGGACCTACACCCCAAGGCCCTAGCCTCCTTGAGGTATTTGGAGATTCTTACCACAAAACCTCCTTCATGCCCATCTTGTGGCGCCGCTGGGGTGGCCACGGAAGCTCCCCGACTCCCTTGACCCGAACCACCACGAGAGCCACGCCTTGCTTGGCGCCTAAGGTCTCTCCTCAGCTTTTCTTTTTGATACCACTCAAGCAACTCGCCCATTTGAGCGAACTTGGCATCACTCTCTTCGTCGTCATCATCGGTGTATGTGTCACCCCCATCATACGGGGTCTCCTCATGCTCCGTTTCCGGAACGTAGGTTGAGTCATAGTCCTCGGTGTTGGTTTCATACACCGAGCTTACATGGCCATCACTCACAGTTTGAGCTTGATGACCTCCACGGCTTCCACGGCCTCCACGGCCTCCTCTTGAACCCCGAGATGCAGCCCGGCTTCCCCTTTGGGATGTTACCGGCGCCTTCCCCCTCGGATTGTTCTTGGTCCGCATTCGCCTGCCCTCCATTTCTGAAAGAAATATGGATGAGTCATTAGACTCCTATAAATGTGAATGTCAATTGACGGAAGAACGCTACAGACACGTATTGGCCCAAGTCACCACCATACCAATTGTTAAGGGTACCGTCTTAACAATTAGAGGCCTTGCAACTTAAGCTCCAATAGTCCCATAAACGTCAAAATACAATGCCCATGGTTTTCGGTAAAAACTCTTTTGTAAAATCTCATGTGAGAGGTTGATTATATAGTTTAGAACTGAGATGGCTCTGATACCACTTAATTGTCACGCCCCAGACCGCAATCCAAGCGCGTGTACAACCGCCGTATAATCAAGTGACGTCACCCGCGAGTCAACCTCACTTGATTACACAAGGCGTTCGAGAATAATAATCCATCCATACTCAGTAGTAAACATACATAACAACATCACATTTAAACCAATGAATAGCGGAAGTATTCAACGGTAAGTCATAAGCCACAACCGGCCAATAACATGGGCATGCAAGCCCCAAAAGAATAGTTTATAACAAATAAAAATATCCATGAGCAATGTTTGGTAAATTGAAATAAAATGAGGAAGCACGAACCACGTCTTCCTTAATTTGATGTCACCCGTAGAAAGGTGCAGGTAGCAAGCCCTAGCTTCAACCTGAAAATGGTGGGCCCCCCCGAAGGGGTCAGTACAAGTACCGAGCGAGTAGCAGGCTAAATATAGAATAACTAGCGTTTCAAGTATAAGACCCAAACATAGGATGATACATATACTTATAGTCCTTCCCCCAAGTTTGAAATACATATTAGTATACATACACTTGGAAATACCCGACCCGTAGGTCATTGTTTATTTGGGAAAATAATAGTAGCCAATATCCTTGACTTAAATCCCAACCCACCCATATACCTATGAGTGTATAGAACTCCTCCTTGTTCAAATAAATTATCATAAGGACACCGCCCGGTCCTAGATCATTAAATGTAATCTATGAGTTTTGAGGATAACCGCCCGATCCTTGGGTACTCCACCCTATATAACCGAGTTTTGAGGATAACCGCCCGATCCTTGGGTACTCCACCCTATATAACCGAGTTTTAAGGATAACCGCCCGATCCTTGGGTACTCCACCCTATATAACCGAGTTTTGAGGATAACCGCCCGATCCTTGGGTACTCCACCCGACCTATGACTTACCACATATCACGCTAGATAGGGTCTATATCATATTTAGTCATTCATAACTAATTCACTACCTAAAGCTTATGTGTCACAATCCATGCAAATCCATGCAACCATATAAATGTATAATTAACTAATATCAACCGATATTAATTAATCCATTAACCATCGGTCAACGTTGTTGTTGACCGCCATCTCAAGTCTTACACTTATTAACTAATTCATCATATAATTAAGTTAATAATATCCATTTGTGCTTCTTTTACTCTTAAAGCAAATATGCATTATATATAATTTCTCATATCATATTTCATGCATAAACAATTATTCTTTTCATACGCACTTAACTATGTTAGCTAATCACATGTTTAAATATCTTTTGAACATCATTATGAACACATATAACATTCATTTAGGTAATCTCATAATTGACCCAAAAGTTATAAGATATTAAGCCGTCCACTCACCTTGAACTAGCGTTAAGAAGTTCTACCCTTCTTGGTTGAACTCCGGTGAAACTCCGGCGACTTTTGGTCAACTCCGGCGACAATTCCGGCGACTTTTCCAACTTTGTGAAATCACTTGAAATACCCTTTACAAGTGCCTAACAAGGTTTTATAATCATAAAACTCATATTAATACAAATAACCTCTAAAAGGTTATTTTCCGGTGAACCGGTCATTTTGGCTTCTAAGTCCGTTTTTGGACGTAGAACCACCTTCCAACCCATGAATCCATACTTATAACATATGGAACCATACTAAAGGTTCTTCATATGATATATACTTCATATGGTGGAAGAAAAATAAAGGAGAAGTTATAATAAGGTCATTACCTTAATTATTCACACTTTTCCTAACTTTTGCCTTCTTAAATCCTCCTCCTTGGACCACTAGAGCTTGAGCTCGAATTTGCAGCAATGGAGGTGAGTTTGGAAGCTCTTCTTCTCTCCCTTGGGTGGCCTGGTCGAGCTAATGGGGTGAGGGGGTGATAGGATGGCCTTTTTGGCTCATCTCACCAATTATGTGGGGAAAGGGTCCCATCCTACCTCATGGTTGACCCTCCTCCCACCTTCCCTTGTCTTTGTAGACCCCAAGGGTCACATTTGAGCTGAATAAAACGTGGGATGGCCCCCACTCATGTGGGAGGTCATCCCTTTGTGTCCCGATGTGTACAATCGGTCCCGAAAGTTGTATTTTTCGGACTGTTTTAAATATATTTTATTTTATCGGGTCAAATAAAATATATTATGTGCTCTTACTCATTATTACATGTATAATGAATATACATCCCCCAACTTTAATTTATAAGCCTCCGAAGTTCAGTTCGGGCTGTTATCTGATAAATTACCAGTACCGGTAATTTGGGCTTCTTTTGACCAATCGGTCAACTCCGGGCCTTTCCATGGCCCAAATGAAATATACACCACTATATATTTATTATCTAGACCAAGATGAATAAAATATATGGTCTCGGGACAGTCGGGCGGCCCCCGCTCCCGGTGTGGGTCCCACGTGCAATTTACTATTCACGCGAAAGAAATAATAAAAATTTACAACTTCGTAAATTCATTAATCATTTAATAAGGTTCAATACATTATTTACATAAAAGTAAATATATTTGGGGACGTTGTTACATCGGTCAAGGTGGATTAAGAACTGATTCCTTGCTTAAATATGAGTGTTAAACAACCTCCTCAAAGTGCTAGCTCAACCCCTAAATGTCGATACGAAAACAGCCCCTAGAACGGGTGTTTTTCGGGCGAATTCGTTCCCTAACCTGTAACACTTGAGATTTAATATAAACGGATTAATAGTACTACTCATACAAACAGAGGTGCATCTCCTTTTAAGGGAGCTCATTACCCAAGAACTCCGAAGTTAAGCGTGCTCGCACGGGAGTAGTCTTGGGATAGGTGACCCCCTGGGAAGTTTCTCAGGGCGCGCATGAGTGAGGACAAAGTGTGCGGTAAAGGCTTGTAGTGGTTTGTGAGGACAGTACTATTGGTCCGGAGTAACTACCCCGGGTCCTGCGGGGCCGGGGTGTTACATAACCTTTCAAAGTTTTGTCTAGGTTAGTATCTAACCTTTCCAACAATTAAAGTCACTTTATAATAACCTTTTATACACTTCAACCAGTTTATAATAGTTCTTCAATCATTCATATGATTTAGACAATAGAGAGGAAGGTTTTGGATTCAAACTTACCTTGAATACAAACATGTATTCTGCGAGGTTGTGTTTTGTTAGGACGATTTGGAGGCCTTAAACTGCTCCGTTTTCTTCAAACTGCACGTCTATGTATCCCTCTTCTTGAGAGATTTCAGTGGACACCTCACACCCCCCTTTTTGGATGAGTATTTCTCAAGATACGAACCAAACAGTGAGCTCCACGAACTGGAGATTATCCCTGCGGCCAGCTCCCTTATCTCTCTCCCTTTTGAGTGTGAGGCTCTCCCTTCTTTCTTATCTATTTCAGTTCGAATGGGGGGTGAGGGGGAGGTGTTTAGGAGCTCTCAAAATGATATCTAAGCATGTGGTTCACAAAAAGAAAGGGTAGGGTGTTTGATTGCAATCAAACATGGTGTGGACCTCCTCTTTTATTTCCTTTTTGTAATGTTGTAGCTCTTAAGTCAAAATGTCCGCCCCACATAGTTGTCTCACCCATTTTTCTTTGTCTTGCAGGTACCAAGGTCGTGTGGGATGGTTCCCAAATGATCTCATTCAATTTGGGGTCCAAAATACCTACCAATACTTCCAAAATGAAAATACGAACCCTATTGTTTTATCTTTGTCATGAGATGTCTTTTTGTACTCATTATAATTTATGTAGGCCAAGTCAACTTCATACATCATATTTTTGATCCCCAGTATGTGTAGGATCATCCCAATAATTTACATGATGAACATTATAGAAGGAAAAAAAATCCTACTCCCATTATTTAGCTCAATAATGTCGAAGATGGGACCATAGGCATTTGTATTCTTCTCTAATCATTCTATCACTTATTTTGACATTTGTCATTCATATTATTGGACTACTAGCCGTGTGGGGCACCCTCGAGTGGGCCTAGGACGTCATTCTTGAATACTTACTATTTTTAGCAGGAGTTTTTGCCATTTTTGGTCCCTCGACTATTATGTCAATGACACTTTTGGTACTCGACTTCTAATTGTTCCATTTTTAGTCCTTGACTATTGTGCTAGAAACACTTTTAGTCCCCGACTTCCAGGTTTCCCACATTTAGTCCCTGAGTATTGTCAAATTGACACTTTTAGTCCTCCCATTATGATTTTGGCATAATAAGTGGAGAACTAAAAAAGTCACTATTATAATTGTTGAAGGACCAAAAGTGACACTTTTATGAAAGTTGAAGGACTAAATATGGAAATTTTCAAAGACGGGTACCAAAAGTGTCTCTAGCGCAATAGTCAAGGACTAAAAATGGAAAAAATCAAAGTCGAGTACCAAAAATGTCAATGACATAATAGTCGGAGGACTAAAAGTGGAAAAAACTCTTTTAGCAGGCTGGGCCCAAATAATGTTTGGGCCGCCTGACCTTCCTTAATTTGTATCAAAAGGTTATGTATCATTATTTACGAAATGTTGGGCTCTTATATTTAATAAGATGGCCCCAAATAAGTATTTGAAGCCCATCACTAATATACAAGCTCAACGGTAAAAATGATCAAACATGTGTTACATAAAACAACAATTGTCTTACAATTGTTCGGTAAATGGAAATTCAATGCATAAGCTTTGCATTTAAATTTAAATTTCAAGGACGCTCGGGTGCGGTGTCACATCCAGTGTCTCTGAAGTATGAGTGTTCCTACTTAGTTTTTGAATTTACACACTATATGCAAGTAAGTTTTCCGGAGAGTATCTTGCAAAAAAAAAAGTTTTCCGGAGAGTAGATCTATTGAATATCGTACTGTTCAAACTCGTATATTAGTATCGGGTTTTGCAAATACTTATTCGGGACTTATTAATAAATAAAAGAGCCCAACATTATCTAAATAGTGATACATAATCTTTCAAGACAATTTGAGGAAGGATGGGCGGCCCAAACATTATTTCGGGCCCAATCTGCTAAAAATAGCAAGTATTCGAGAATGACGTCCTAGACCCACTCGGGAGTGACCCACACGGCTATTAGCTCAATAAAAATGAATGACAAATGTCAAAATAAGTGATAGAATGATTAGAGAAGAATACAAATGCCTATAGCCCCATCTTTGGCATTATTGAGCTAAATAATGGGAGTATGATTTTCCTTCTATGATATCCATTGATGTGTGTTTTCTCGCACTTAAAATAGATCGTAATATAGTGGTGTAAGTACGAGTATCGTCTCCACAGGGACGGACAAAAGGGAATCAAGAATTAATTAAATTCAGCGATTAAAAAGAAAATAAAATAAAAGCGTCGTGCGAGATTGGTTGGTTTGGAAAATAAAACTAATGCGAACAATTAAACTAGGGGGTTCTTTCTAATTAATGACGAAGGGAACAGGGATCGATTCCGGGTTAACTAGATTTCTGGCAGATCAGGCCTAATTACATGAAATTAATTTAATTGAGCCTAGCTAATCATTACTAAGTTCGCGGCGTAGAGTACAATAATTTAGGGGACCAGGCTGATCTCTCATGCGACAGGATCCTAAATTATTGCCAAGACGAGCGAGCTTACGGCCCCTTAATCGCTACTAATCTCTTAGCGAACGATTAAGTGTGTGTGAATGTGTCCTAGAACAAATTAGATCTCTCTTAATTTATTCTACATGCAATTGTAATTCTAGTCGCGATTCTAGGTTACAAAAGATATCAATTAAATTATTCAAACACAATATAAACGGCATTCATGCAATTAAACCGAAAAGAATCTAGCCATACATCATGATTAACCCCTTCATCAATCCCAAATCCCTAATTAAAACTACTCACAATTCATAATTGAAGAATCAATAGAATTGGAATAAAAAGAATTAATTGTCATTAATTAAAAAGGTGGAACTTACAAAGAATCCCAAAAGATTGATGAACAAGGCTGAAAAACCCTCTAAATTTCGTGCTAGGCACTCTCTCTAAGCTCCCCCCTTGAAAACGGGGGTTTACAAGCTGTTTAAATAGAAAAATCGGGTGAAATTTGAGCTGAATTAGGATTTTCGGAGCCAGGCACGATCGTGCCTTCGATCGTGCCTCCGGAGCAAAAACGCGCATTTTGGGCAGGCAGTAGCTCCGCGGTGCTTTTCTCTTCAGGCACGATCGTGTCTGACTTTGAGGGCACGATCGTGCCTACATAACTTCCGAATTTGACAAAACTTCCTTCATGAAAGTTGTAGATAATGAAGTCCTCTATCCACCCCAATTTGCCGAATGTGATTTGAATCATCCAATCAAGAGATATGATCCAAACGGTGGAAGGTGTCTTTCTGAAATCGCAGCAGAGATCATCTGACTTCATCGTCTGTTTTCACCTTCTTCCTCTCAGATTCTAGCAAAGGTGTCTTCATATGATTTGTAGCCCTTGAAGTTGGCTTTCCTATGGAACTTGAAGCGTGTACATTGGATGTTTCTACAAAGAGATATGCTTGAATGATTGACAGAAGGTCATCCTGATCGTCGTTTTCAAGCTTCATTCATCTTCTTTTGATCCCGAAGCCAGTCCTAGAGCTCTTTTTTCTTCAAATCTTCATCGTGAATCTTCTGGTGACCTCCAAAGCTATCAAATAATTCTCAAATGCTTCTCAAATCATCCCGATTGTTCCTCAAGTGCCGGTGTCGGGCTCAAATTCCCTGATTTTGACTACAAACAACACAAAACTCGAACCAACGCCCGGTAAACATAACTTGAGCTAAAATTGAGACTTGTAACACCTTAAAACTAGGAAAATCATCAAAAGCCGATCTCAACACGCATCAAATACGTGTCAAAATATGGACTTATCATCCATCAAGTAAATTATTGAGATGAGTCTACACATATTGGAGATCAATAATGTGATGTAGGAAGTTGACTTGTTCTAAATAAATTAGGATGAGTACAAAAAGACATCTTTGACAAGAGATAAAACAATAGGACCCATCTTCCCATTTTTTGGAAGTATTGGTAGATATTTTGGATCCCAAATGAAATGGGATCCTTTGGAGACCATCCCACATGGCTTGAGTACCTGAAAGACAAAGGAAATGAGGGTTATTGACTTCATGGGGCGGACTTTGGCTCACCTACTCAAAACAACTTCAAGAGAAAACAAAAACAAAGGAGGTCCACCCCATATTTGTTCACAAGCCAAATATCTTCCCATGCCCTCTTGTAAGCCACATGATTTATCATTTTTTTTGAGAGCTATTAGTCACCTCCACAACCCCAATTCGAACTCCCAAGATAAGAGAGAAGGAGAGAGCCACATACTCCAAGGGAGAGGTGAAGAGAGAAGCTGGCCGCAGGATTCGTTTTCCAGTAGATAGGGTCACTTGTTTGATCCATACCTTGAGCTTCACTCGTCCACATAAGGAGTATGATATACCAAAAGAAAGCTCTCAAGACGTGGAATCCGTGAAGGTCTGGTTTGCAGAAATATGAGTAGTGGAAGGCTTCCAAATCGTCCGAGCAAAACACAACCTCGCAGGAGAGGATTTAATCTTCTAAAGTGAGTTTTAACGCCAAAACTTTACTTTTCATTTTCCAAATGATATGAACGATTGGTGGGACTATTATACACTAATTCAAGTGTATAATATGTCCTTATAAAGTTATTTTATGTGTGTAAAGGTTGGATACTAACCTAGAGCAAATCTTGGAAACTAGGAAACGAGTTAGCCGGAAAACACCCATTCTAGTGGCTGTTTTCGTATCAACGATTAGGGGTTGAACTAGCACTTTGAGGGGGCTGTTTAACACTCATTTCTAATCAAGGAATCAGTTCTCAAGCTCCCTTGGCCGAGGCTTTGGTCATTGGATCGAGAAGGAAAGTTTTAAAGCTCATTTGAGGTGAGGATTGACATCTAATTGCTTACAACTTGTAGGTTAAGCATGAGATTACCTAAATGCCTAAATCATAATTTTTCATGGATTATTATGATTAAATATTGATGAAATATGGATATAGTTCCCAAAGAATGAAATTGGAAATGATTTGAGGATGTATGAATAATATGAGATTAAATGAGTTATAAATGAACTATTTTGTGAAATACGGATTTTACTCATGTATGAGTTATGTGGATACATAAATGAATATTTATGCATTGAAATTGAACACTTAAGTTGCTGCTACATGCTTATAAATATGTAGAGAATTACAAAACGAGAGTATTTGTATGATAACAATAATCTTAATAGTATTGAAATACTAGTTAGTGATTATTGGAAATTGTTGATAGAATTGATCCTAGGGATTGGATTGTATGAAATGCACTTGAATATACTTCAAGTGTATATGATGACTTAGTATGAAACTAAGGTTAAGTGGTGGGAAGTCTTTAAGGATGACCCATGGTAGTTTATTGATATGTCAATTCTAGGCATAGGGTTGCTTAAGAATTGGACCTTCATGCATGGTGATGTGATAGAGCCGAGCTCTAGGATGCATGGTAAGGTGGTAGACTTGTAGTCTATGTATTGAATAGCTAGAGCCGAGCTCTAGGGCTTGCGTGGTGATGTGATAGAGCCGAGCTCTAGAACGCAAGGTAAGGACATTGACCCGAGTGACATGAATTGTATGGTGATGTGGTAGAGCCGAGCTCTAGAATACAATGTCATGTGTTAGGGTTGGACTCTATGAGTTGTCGTGGCTTATAGCCACGGGGAATGGGAATGGTGATTTCTAAATGAACATGGGCCCACGGGCCGACTACTTGACTTTTACATAAAGTAAGTATATTTTCAAACGGGGTAACTTAGGGTTACAAATCATAATGTACTATCACCCTATTTGAGGGTCTTGTGTTTGAAATACTTGTTGTATATCTATTGGATGCCTGCCACACCAGTACTTTATAGCCGTATAGAGTACTGACCCCTTCGGGGGCGTCCCACCACCATTTCAGGTTGAGGCTAGAGCTTGCATCCTGTGCTCGTTGATCGAGTGATCCCTCGGAGAGAAGACTTGGTTCGTTCTTCCTCCATTCTATTTGAAACATTAATAAATTTGCTCATGGATATTTTACTATAGAGCCTGCGTGCTCATGAATAGCCCTGTGTGGCTCTTTTGTTTTAAACAATGTTTCCGCTGCGTTATGAATTACTTATTATGTTTGTTTATGGATGTTATGTGTGTGAATGATATTCAAGACGCCTTGTATAATATGAATGTGTTGGACTGCGGTTGACTATTCGTATTGTACGGCGGGTTGTTGACGTGTCCGGGGAGGTCCGGGGCGTGACATATGTGACACAAAAACATCAATTCATAATAATGACACTATATTAAAAAGTGCTGAATTTTAACCTTTATAAAATATTCACTTTTCATTTCCATCCACAAAGTATATTCCCGCCATCTATTTTTAGTAACCCGCCCTTTCTTTCCTTAACAATATTTCGATCCACTTCTATTTTCGTATAACTCAAATAGCTCAAATGAATTGGTCAAAATAAACCCACCTTCTCTCTTTTCCCTCGAAACCCATTGCTAAGAACCTTAGATTGAGCGACGAACACGGACGGTTGCAAAGAACACAGACGGCTCTCGATCGTCTGACCTGGGAAGAACATCACGACTCTCGTCGTCTGGACTGAGAAGAACATCACGGCTCTCGATCGTCTAGCCTGGGAAGAACATCACGACTCTCGTCGTCTGGACCGAGAAGAACATCACTTATCCTCAAAACTTGAAATATAATTGATGGAGTACCCAAGGACGGGATTGCCCTCAAAACTCGAAATATAATTGGTGGAGTATCCATGGACGGGATTGTCCTCAAAGCTCGGAATATAATTGGTGGAGTACATAGGGACGGGATTGCCCTTAAAACTCGAAGCATAATTTGTGGAGTACCTAGAGACAAGATTAGCCCTCATAACTCATAGAATACAGGTTAGTAACCCAAGACCGGGTGGTGTCCTTAAATTACTTGATTGGACTAGGAGGGGTCCTATACACTCGTAGGTATTTGGGTGGGTTTGGGATAAAAAAGTCAAGAACTAAGTTTTCCACAATTTTCCCAAAGTAAACAAACGACCTACGGGTATGGTATTTTCCAAGTGTATATACTTATATGTATTCCAAGACATGGGGGCGGGGAGGAGTATAAATGTATGTATCACCCTATGTTTGGGTCTTATACTTGAAATGTTAGTTATTCTATATTTAGTCTGCTTCTCGCAAGTATGAGTGTACTGACCTCTTCGGGGGCCTCTCACCATTTTCACGATGAAGCTAGATATTTTTACATGCACCTTTGCACGGGTGAAGTGATCTCAAGGAAGACGCGGTTCATGCTTCCTTTATTGATTTAAAACTATAAACAATGTTCATGGATATTTGTGTTTGAATTACTATGTTTTGGGCTAGCCTGCGAGTATGCATTTTGGCCGGATGTGGCCCATGCTTTAACAATGAATATTTTCTCTAGTCATTCAATTCAAATGTGATGTTGTTATGTACGATTACTACTTACCGAGTATTATATGAACTATGCTCATGGACACCTTGTATGATCACGTGAGGGTGACATGAGGGTGACATCACTTGATTGTGTGATGGTTGTTCACGCGCTTAGATGTGGTCTGGGATGTGACAATAATCAATGTACAATTTATACATTTCTCATATGTATTTACATCTCCTAATACAATTTGTAATGATTTTTATACTTTATGTAAATTGGGCAAATTATATCGTACAGTCAGTGTACCATGTGCATGGTACAACCAGATTTTATTGGCACTGCGCACTCTCCATCGATGACCTAGATGGACGCCTCGCCGCTCACACCTAGACTGATAGCTCGCCGCTCACACCCAGATTGTTGGTTCGCCGCTCGTTTCCATAAGGACGACTTGCCACTCGCATCCCATATAGACTGCTTGTTCTTCGCACCTACACGACAAGACGCTGCTGTCCGCGGCTCACTGACTCCTTCTAGACTACAAAAATCACGCCACCACCACATGTTAGATTGGAGCCTGCGGCGACCAGATTGGATATCAATCACATAGTCTCGATGTTCAATAGTAGAGAACACGATACTCAATGAAGATGTTTTGATGCCCAATAAAGATTTTAATCGCATAGTCTCAATGCTCAATAATATAGAACATTGTACTCAATAGAGATGTTTTGATGTTCGATGCAGAGTTCCATTGCTCAAGGAAGACATTTGATCACATAATTTCAATGCTCAATAATAGAGAACACGATACTCAATAAAGATGTTTTGATGTTCAATTAGTTTTGAAATTTTATACTCAATTGCAAAACTCTGATGCTCAATAGAGAAGCCTTAATGCACAATGCAAAAATCGTGATACTCAACTAAGAGAGCTCACAATTTTCATTATATATATATATATATATTCAAAAGTATGATATTAAATTAGATTTGCATAAAAGAATTCATAGGAGTTGATTATAGATCCAATATTTTTTTTTATAAAAGATAAAAAAGTGAATGAGAAGATATGTAGTAGAGATCATGATGCTCAATATTGAACTCTTAATACGCAACAAAATAAGCCTGATGATCTTAACAAAAAAAAAGTCTGATGTTCAATACAAGTGCATTGATGTTCAATTAATAGAAGTCGTGATTTTCAATTAAAATTACAAAAATGTCATTGATTGCACAGTTTACACCATACAAGTGGTGGTACTAATTGTGTGTATTAATAGAGACAATCGTACAACTACACATTTTTCAACTGGCACATTTACCTTGTACGAAAACATGTATACTAAACACATACGGAGTATCATCTATATCAACAAATAATATAGGGGAAACTATCAAATAGGTCCATGTACTATATCGGAAAAGTCAATTAGGTTCTTGTACTATTAAATCATTCAATTAAATCATCCAACTTAAAAAAAAAAACTCAATTTTGAATTTTAACCGGGTGTTTAAAAATTTTGTCGGTCATAGACTCATAGTTGACTTTGTATAACATGTGGCATATTGTTTCTTTTTTTCTATTGTTCTTTCTTTTTCTCCTTTGTTTCTTCTCCTCTGATTCCCTCGACGCCTGCAAGTGTTTATTTCTTTCTTCCATTTCTTTTTTTTTTCTCTATCCTTGACTTTCTTCTTGGGCCAAGCAACCAAGTGACAAACACAGGATCTCCTTTCCCTCATTTCTTTTGCAAACTCACCCAACACACCCATCGACCATTCCTTTCCCTATGAACGGCCGAACTGCGTTGGCAGCCGACAACTGACGGATGAACACTGAGGCAAAGTCATTCGGTAAACTTGCGGATTAAATAGAGAAGTTCAACAACCTTTGGCGGGAGTAGATATCCATGACTTCCGTCGACTTCCCTCCATTTTTTGGTGACATCGGAGCAACCCCACACCGTCGCTTATAGCACTCGTCATCCTCTGTACTCGCTGAAGTTCCAAAAATGAAGAATAGCAAGCTTCTTTGAATTGGATGGGTGGGAGTACGAAAGAAGGAAATAGAGAATAAAGAAGAAGAAAATGTAAGGTGTTAGAGACTGTATAACCAAGCCCATTCCGAAATTTTTTGGGTCCTTTTATATATGGGCTGCGTGTTCCATTCTTGTTGGGGTTATGCTTTACTCTCTATAAATGCACGCTTTCTCCTTGTAATCATCATCAGAAAATAATAGTAACATCCTGGCTTGGTAGCGCCCTCAGACGTAGTCATTCGTGGCGAACTGGGTTACCAAATTTCATGTGTATTTCTTATTGTTCTTATAACCAAGCGTGAGTTTAATTCTTAACAATTGGTATCAAAGCCTTAGGTTCGAAGGAATCAATAAGATGGTAAATTTGAAGACATCATTGGTGCAGTTCGATGGAACGAATTTCGGTTTCTAGAAGATGCAGATCGAACATTACCTGTATGGTAAAGATTTGTACCAACCTCTGGATGACAAGCCGGAAGACATGAAGGACAACGATTGGAAGTTGCTTGACAGGAAGGCGATGAGCGTGGTTCGATTGTCGCTGTCACGAAACATCGCTCTCCACACCGTCAAAGCTAAAACAACGAAGGAGATGTTGCAGATATTATCGGATATGTACGAAAAACCATCTGCTGCGAACAAGATTCATCTGATGAGACGTCTTTTAACCTAAAGATGTCAGAAAGCACAGCAGTTGTAGAGCATCTCAACGAGTTATATTTAATAACCACACAATTGAGCGCGGTTGAGATCAAATTCGACGATGGGATTCAAGCCCTAATTCTGTTGTCTTCCTTACTAGAAAGCTGGAACAGAACGTTTACTGCAGTAAGCGCCTCAGCATGGAAGGAGAAGTTGAAATTCAATGAAGTCAGAAATCTGGTGGTGAGCGAAGAAATTCGCAGGAAGGAATCAGGTTTGACCTCAGAATCAGAGGCAGGGCGAACTCGAAGTCAAAAACAAATCGAGAAAGATCGAGATCAAAATCCAAATCGAAATCAAATAGCAAAGGAAAGAAGGACAAAAGCTCAATAAAGTGTTGGAATTGCGAAGAGTATGGACACTTCAAAAGCCAATGCAAGGAGCAAATCAAAGATCAGAAGAAGAAGACATCCGCCAATGCAACCACTGAATCATATAGCAATGATCTCTTGATCTTGAGCGTGAGCAGTCCCTTGGAGTCGTGGGTTCTGGATTTTGGGGCTTCGTTCCATTCATGTGGCAATGCTGAAGTAATGGAACAGTACACTCCCGACAATTTTGGAGAGGTGTATCTTGTTGATGACGAGCCTCTGAAAATTGTCGGATGGGAAGGGTAGTGTCGAAGTGAAAACTCCAAACGGATTCACATTGAAACTGAATGGTGTCCGACACATTCATGGTTTGAGGAGATACCTACTTTCAATTGGGTAGCCGGATGAAGAAGGGTACGCAGTTACATTCGGTAGCAGAAATTGGAAGATAACCAAAGGAGCCATGTTGGTTTCTAAAGGGAAAAAAGAGGGTGAAAAACCTAAGAACAGGGGGGAAACCCTAGAGCTCTAGGCGATCGTGCATGGTGACGCCATCTATGTGGGTGGCTCCGGCCGGTGGGTCGGGAGCATCGTCAAGGTTGTTTGCGGAAGTTCTTGCTACTAATAAGAAGATTCTGTTGAAGGTCCCATTCAGGCATAAAGATATGCCTACGATACAATTTAACCATGAAGAAGTTTCTAAGCTTGCGACTCAACACAAATATGCCTTGGTAGGTTATTTTGCTAGAGGATGGCCAACTATGGTCGTTCTACGTCAGGAGTTTAAAAAGATAGGTTTCAATGGTCCATTGTCACTCGGTCTTCTGGATCAGTGACATATACTGTTAAACTTTGGCTCTGAGGAAGATTCCCACAGGTGTTGGCTTAGGCAATTTTGGAACATAAGAGGTTTCAGGATGAAAGTTACTTGTTGGTCACCATACTTTAGCCCGGATGTGGAATCCCCCATAATTCCGGTCTGGGTCAATTTTGATGGGCTCCCATTACATTTTTTTGATAAGCGTGCATTGTTTTCCATTGCCGGAATGATTGGGAAACCTCTAAAAGTGGATGCGGCTACAACAAACCTTACCCGACCCTCAACGACTAAGGTATGCGTGGAGTTGGATTTGCTTCAAGAAATTCCAACTAAGGTGCTAATTATGAGCGGCAAAAAAGAGGTTGTCCAGCGAGTTACATATGAGGATCTTCCTAAATATTGTACGAAATGTAACATACTGGGACATTGTAAGGAGGAATGTGGTATTCCAAAGCCGAGAATGGATAAAGTTATTAACCAGAAGGTTAATAATGAGCAGAAAGTAAAAAAGAAGTTGGATAATGCTAATCTAAGGCAACCTGAAAGGTGGATCTGTAACACCACGGCCTCGCAGGACCCAAGGTAGTTACTCCACATACTCTCCAGACCTATTTCCCTTTTGGTTTTCCGCTGCATAACCTTGATGTTTTCAAATAAAGTTGCTATTTCTGCTGAATAAAGTATTGTTTTTGGGTGGGAAATTTAGGGGTGTTACAGGATCCAAGTTTTACATAAGAGGAAGGGGAAAAAAGTGGTGACCGTGGAAGCAGACAAACCAGAATCATCAAAGAGAATGGATGAAACGGTGGTACTGGAAGGCCCTGAACCAATCCAAAGTTTGGACAATCCAACAGTGCCTGTGGGGTCATTGATAGACAAAGCGTTGAAAGTTGAAGGGGTGAGGGAAGCAATAACGGATCCAAATTCAGACCCTAAGTTGATGGAACAAGTAATAGAGAAGCCTGATCAATTGTTGATTGAAAGTGGAGCTCAATTTTGCCTAAGCTAGGAGACAGTGGAAAGGCAGGTGGAAAACCAAAACATGGGGTCAGTGGAAAGGCAGGTGGAAGAGGTTAGTTTAGAGGTTGCTCCTTATGAGTCTGTCCAGATGGCTACTGATGTTACTAAGCTAATCTCATTTGAGGAAGGATGCAATGGCAAGGAGGATGAGAGTTTGGTGGTGGAACGGGAAGATTACGACTCAGAGGGTAGGGTTCATATTATAGAAGAGGTCACCAAAAATAAATGGGATGAAGTATGTCTAGAGCTACAAAGAAAGGTAACAATGATTGAAAAGAAGCAGGCAAAAGTTTTGGGGGATGTTTCAAGAAGAAAAATAAAAGAGGTTCCACCTCAAGCGGTCACAACTAGTTTTGGGGGATGTTTCAGGTGCCTAAGATTATAGTCTTCCTGTGAAGGCTGTGGCACAGAGGACTTCCCTTCCCTGAGTAGTTGGCCCCCTTTTCGGCAATTTATCCCTCTATTTGTCCTTTCTGTGGCAGGGCTAGTGCATCTCAGGACCATATCCTTCTTCATTGCCCCTTCTCTATTTCGGTTTGGAATTTTTTTAATCACGCTCTGAAAATGGAAGGAGGTAGAGCTATTTGTATTCAAAATCAGCTTATGAAATGGTGGATTTCATTTAAAGGTAACACATTAGACCAGATTTATAAGATAATTTTACCAGGAGCAATTGCCTGGTAGCTGTGGAAATATTGGAATGTAATTTGCAATGAGATAAGGCCAGAGAGAGACCTAGTCATTCATCAAATTATTAAACACATGATTGATTGGAGTTGGGCGAATATTAATTTGAAAGGGGGAGACAAATTAAAAGAGGCTGGCTTATTACCTCAGAATTTCAAGCAGCGAAAACCACACACGTTCGTAAAAAAGAGGGTAAATTTGTAAGCCATTATGGCGTTGCTGAACGCATGAACATAACACTAAATGAGTGGTCCAGATGCATGAGGTTGAAGAGTGGCTTACCAAATATGTTTTGGGAGGATGCAGTGAACACCGCGGCTTTTCTCATCAACAGAAGCCCAACGATCTCGTTGGAGAATGGCATACCTGAAGAAAGGTGGACGGGTAAAGAGGTTAATCATTCTTATCTCTGCATATTTGGTTGTGTTGCTTATGTTCATATTAATTCTGTTGATCGAAGGAAGTTAGACGCTAAATCTATTAAATGTACGTTCGTTGGATATGGTGGTGATGACTTTGGATATAGATTCTGGGATGAGCAGAATAGGAAGATTATTCGTAGTCGAGATGTTGTTTTCAATGAATAGGTTATGTACAAGGACATATTGAGTGCATCTGATTCTGAGCGAGACAGTCTGGAGATCATTGAGTTAGACATCTCTAATTCGGGTGGGAGCGAGAAGGATCAAAATGAAGAGGTGGTCAGTGATGAAGACTCATCGACACCACCACGACAGAGGCCTACTAGAAACCGACGAGCACCAAATAGGTATTCACCTGAGTTCTATGTAGAGGCAGTTCAGGTTGATGATAAGTGCAAGTGGAAACTTGCAATGGATGATGAGATTGCGTCTCTCACATCTAATGATACTTGAAAGTTAGTTGAGCTTCCGAGAGGAAAAAAGGCTTTACACTGCAAGTGGGTCTACCACATCAAGAATGAGGCAGATGGTAGCAAACGCTACAAGGCTAGACTGGTTGTGAAGGGATTCGAGCAACGTTATGGTATTGATTACACTGACATATTCTCTCCTGTTGTGAAACTAACTACTATTCGGTTAGTGTTGAGTTTAGTTGCTGCAAAGAATTTTTTGTTACACCAGATGGATGTAAAGACCGCATTCCTTCATGGTGACTTGAATGATGAGATATACATGGTGCAACCAGAGGGCTATGTGGCAGAAGGTAGTGAAAATCTTGTGTGTAAGCTAGAGAAGAGCATGTACGGGTTATAGCAAGCACCGAATTGAAGCAGTGGTACAAGAAGTTTGATGGTTTCATGCGGGAAATTAATTTCTTGAGATGCCACACCAACAATTGCTGCTACTACAAGAAGACTGACAACGGTCATCTTATCTTGTTGTTATATGTTGATGATATGTTAATTGCAAGAGCTAGTTCAAAAGAGATTGAGAAGCTAAAGAATGTTTTTCCATGAAAGATCTTGGAGAGGCGAAGCAGATTTTGGGCTTGAGAATCGAGAGAGATGAGGCAGGGGCAAACTGTTTCATTCACAAGCCGAATACAATCAGAAAGTCTTAGAAAGATTCAGAATGCAAGATGCAAAGACAACAAGTGTACCATTGGGTAGTCACTTCAAGCTTGGCAAGGAAGATTCGCCAAAGAACAAGGAGGAGCATGCTCAGATGCAGAACATCCCATACGCCTCGGCAATTGGCAGTATTATGTACGTTATGGTGTGCACGAGGCCAGACATTGCACATGCGGTGGGAGTAGTGAGCAGATTCATGGGAGATCCAGGGAAACAACATTGGGAAGCTGTGAAGTGGATCTTGAGGTATTTGAAAGGTACTCTTTCTAATGCCTTGTTTTTTGATGGAAAGAGTGTGGAGCTGCTGGGACATGTTGATGCAGACTTGGCATCAAATGACTCGGATGGATCGAATAGCACCACCAGCTATGTTTTTACATTTGGTGGCACAACAGTCTCCTGGATTTCGCAGTTGTAGAAGGTTGTCGCATTATCTACCACTGAAGATGAATATGTGGCAATAACCGAGGCAAGCAAGGCGATGGAGTGACTTCAGAAATTACTTAGGGAACTTGGAAAGGAGTACAACAAAAACATCCTTTACAGTGACAGTCATAGTGATATCTTCTTGACAAACAACTCAGCATTTCACAAGAGAACCAAACACATTCGGTTGAAGTATCACTACATCCGTCATCTTCTGGAGATAGAGACATTGCCGCTTGTGAAGATTCATGGGAGTGAGAATCCAGCACACATGTTTACTAAGGTGGTAACCTTTGAGAAATTGAAGCTTTTCATAGCTTCAATTGGTCTTGGTACTTGAAGAAGAGGGCCCGGTGCTACCATGCTAAGAAGGGAAGATTTGAAGAAGTCACTCTCAAGGTGGGAGATTGTAAGGTGTTAGAGACTGTATAACCAAGCTCATTCCGTCGATATTGTTGGGTCCTTTTATATATGGGCCGCGCGTTCCATTCTTGTTTGGGTTGGGTTTTACTCTCTATAAATATGCGCTTTCTCCTTGTAATCATCATTAGAAAATAATGGTAACATACTGGCTTGGTAGCGCCCTCAGACGTAGTCATTCGTGGCGAACTGGGTTACCAAATTTCGTGTGTCTTTCTTATTGTTCTTCATGTTGCGTGAGTTTAATTCTTAACAGAAAGGATGTTGTAGACTTTCAGATTGGGGCTTGGGCGGAAGAAGACAGTCGGGAAAGTGAAGAGGGAAAGAAATTAAAGGAAAAATAAGAAAAAAGGGAAAATGTAAAATTTGCCACTTGGATAACGGAGGTGTGTAAGATGACCTCTTAACCGATTGGTTACGGGTTGAAATATAAAAAAATTATAGTAGGACTCAATTTCCTTATTCAATATAGTACATAGACCTATTTGACAGTTTTCCCAATAATATAACATTCGCGCGGCAGTCACATACTTTGTATAATATACATTTATACTGCATACTACATCATACTTAATACTCCGTGGAATATGTCACATTTTACATGGAAAATAAATTATTTGTATCAAAAGATAACGTATCATACTCACACATATTTAGTTTATAAAGCACCATTTTTTCAATAATGAATAAATTCTCTAACTAGGGGTAAAACATAACAAAGTGTAATAATAGGAGTTTAATGTTCTGTGTGATCCTATAAAAGTAAAAAGACATGAGTTGACAAAACTACCCTTAATAAAAACTCTAATTTCTCTTGCGTTAGGACCACCCATCGCTTGTACCAGTTGCCGCCGCAGCCACAAATGCCGCCATCAGCCGCCACCGTCACAAGTGCCGCCACCATACTCCGCTGTCACCACTAGGCACCGTCGCCAGATGCCTCCTAATACATGATTTATTAGCAATTAATAATACGGAGTAATAATAATAATAATAATAATAATAATAGTAATGATAATAATAGTAATGATGATAATAATAATAATAATAATAATAATAATAATAATAATAATAATAATAATCTAATTGGAATGTTTTCTATTAATAAAAATAATATATAATAATATTTAATAGATGGGATTTCAATTAAGCAAGATTAGAACATGATTTACGAATGTGTTTCAGTTTCAACAAATAGACTGCAAAGATTTAAATAAATTGGGTCAGATCAGGCTAGATTAAAATAGAACAACCTTTATCATATTAGACTAGACCTGATTGAAATAGATTAAATCATATTTAACATTCTTACCTAATCAAATAACAATCACATCTTATAGATCTAGATAACAATAGTAATAGTAATAGTATAGTAGTAAGAGTAATAATTATAATATTAATAATAATAACAATAGTAGTAATAATTAATTATATAAACACCAATATGTACTGGAATATTTACATATATAATGACAATTTTTTATTAGTACACAGTGATCCTGACTTTTCCGAACTGACTCGTGTGTGCTCTTAAGAACTCACCCTAGATCTTGAGTGATTTGATCTGAGTCTTTCGGTCTATTAATTAGATTCTCACCGTCATCTAATAACACGATTAAACATATAAATTACACATCCCGTGCACGGGTAAGGAATCTAGTGTCCGAAATTGGAAACGTGATAAATGAAAAAGAAATGCCCAAGCATGAAAAACAATAGGAACTCCCAATTTGGAATTTTCTTATTGTTTTACTCCTAGAAGTATATATTTTTCAATAATTTTTTAATTGATTTCAAGATTGAATTTTAAATTAAAATTTGAGATGAATGTTTGAGACAACAAAATCTTATTGAAAAGTGGGAAAGGGGGCAAATAAGCCCTCGAACTATTTGTGATTATGCAATCACGCCCCTGAACCGGAAGAATTGCAAATACACTCCTCAACTCGTTGAAAATCAAGTAATCAAATCATTTCTTACCTGTTGGTGCCGGTTAAGGAGATGAGAAATTATCGGCACCAGCAAGTAAAAAGGTTCTAATTACTTGACTTTCAACAAGTTGAGAGGTGTATCTGCAAGTCTTCCGGTTCATGGACTTGATTACAAAATACTACCTCCGTCCCCCTAAGTTTAGGACAAAAGAAGGTGACACGGTTATTAATAAAAGTGGATTTATGTGATTGATAATGAATTGATAAAGTAAGAATAAAACATTAATGATTTAGAACCACACAAACTTTACCAAATAAGGTATGAGACAATATTAGTGGGACGGACCAAAAAATAAAATGGGACAATCATGACCGGACGGAGGGAGTAGGAAATAGTTCGAGGGCTTATGTGTATCATTATACAAGCAAGTTGTTTTGACTCTTCTTGTTGTACCCACTATTGTACACACTTTTGTACCCACCATGTCTTCATAGACATATTTTTGTCTATGACCGGGATTCACAGACAAAAAAAGAACTCTTCGCAAACATGGCGGGTACAAAAATGGGTACAATAGTGGGTACAAACTGATTTTTCCTTAGACTTTTCAGAGTATGGAATGGCGTAGTACGACAGTAACGGATAAGAAAATATGTGAATGCTCAAACTGCGTCCACTCATGCAAATGGCCAATTACTCGAAAGCCCACATCTGCCAATGCATGAGCCGCGTCTCGGCGTCCCGCCGGAGCTCGACGGTGACGATATCCGGGGACAGAAGAAAGACCGGCGCACAGTTCGTTGACGGGATTTTGAGCCTCGCGCGCGGGCTTCGCCAACTTGGCCTTCAGCCCGGTGATGTGGTCGCCATTTCTGCTCTCAACAGGTTCTTCTCTTCTGCAAACATGAGCCGTTAATTGAATTTAAATTTACATAGCAGAATAAACTGAAAAAGGAAGAATCAATCGACTTGCTAATAATGCAAAAAATTACTGCTCCTTATATCACACCCATTCACAATTCTATTACTCCCTCTTTCCCATCCTTAACTCCTTTGTGCCTTTTCATGGAGATCAAGAAAGCTGTAAAGTTGTGCAAAGGAGATAGAATTGCAATGAACCTACACAGATTCTCAAAAATGAAAAAATGAGTCTACATTGTGACGGATTTAAAAGGAACAAAATGAATTGTATTAGCAAATTTTCCTTTTTTTGAAACAAATACTAATGAAGCAATTTTTTGGATTATATAGTGTATGCACTCCATTTCCATCATTTGCAATGGAGTCAAAGATTCATTATTTTTTTTGGCTTGAGAATATGATGGAATAAAGCAAAATGACTCACCAAACTGTCTGATCTTCTTTGTTATGAAGCAGCAGTCAGTCCATGCAATTTTGGACGCGATTTTCATTATGGGTCATCCGGAAACAGCCTCTCCCTGCTTTAGTAAAGGGGTAAGACTGTGTACATCCGACCCCCTTACCCCACTATAGGTGGGAGCCTTTGCGGCACTGGGGTAAATGATGATTGATTGATTGATAGTGTACGTACTCCCATTTGAGTTGAGGTAGGAACAATCAAGTTCAATTATGGATTCTCCCCCTAGCGCCAAAATGGGATGTTTCTGTGCAAACTATATATTGTGGGAAGTGATTAGTTTTGATCCACACACTTGGCAGTTGGCATATGCTGCGCGATTCGTGTGCTACTTCATTTCCTCTTTTTGATTAAGGAAGTACCCTAAATATTACGAAGTATAAATTTAAGTTAAAAACTAAATATAATCAATTAGAAAGTAAAATAGAATACAAAGAGAATGGTGACATTAGTGGTGTAAATGGTTCTGAGTGTAAATACTATTTGTTGTGATGTTCAAATGTTTACACTATTTTGGTGTAAATAAATGGCGATATAGGTTGAAGTCTTGGAGATGAAGGTATTTTAAACTGTTACACATTGCTTTGTAACAGTGATTTATATTTGGAATGGTTGCTTGCGGTTGCATATGCCGGAGGAATTACTGCTCCACTCAATTATCGCTGGGTTAGTGGGCCAACCCTGATCTAGTTGATTGTAATTAGTTCGATGAATATGAGACCCAGTATTCTATGAAACAATATGAGGACCTGTTTATTAAGTTCTTTAATGATATGCATTGGCATATTGCAACTTATCTCTCGGTAGTGCAGTACCGGGGTTGTTTTTGGAAGTTTATAGTTTAGTATCACCAAACCGCCCCAGTTCATATTACATTAAAATTTGGGCGGGTTGAATTCAAACCACTCTTAAGGTAAAAGAGGGTTTAAATCCAATCAATAATGAATTGTGGTAAATTTAACCACCCATGATAGTATTCCACATTCATTTTTTGTTCAACATATTCTATGTTACCTATAAGAAGTTTATACTTATGCTGTATTTTTAGTCTTTAACCTGTTTTTGATCGGTGTTTTGTCCCTCCTAAAAACCCGGAGTTTCCTATTCGCAACCAGACTTTTGTCCAACTTTCAGACATATATGTATACAATACAATTATACATATAATTGAAAAGGTTAAAAAAGTGGAATGTGAGATTCTAATCTGTATTTCTGGGAGGTGTTTGGTCATAGTAATTAATCTCAGCTTATAGAGCTTGGAAGAAGCAAGTGAAGCCGTGAAGGTGGCAAGGCCTACGTTATTGGTCACAGACTCAGCGTTAAATTCCTGGCACTCCAAGTTTGATATAGACTCTATATCTTCACTAAGATGGCATGTCTCAATTGACATCCCTTTCGGAGTGGAAAGCACTTGGAATGGTATGAGTTGGAGTTTCCTTGCCTAAGTTTGAAAAGTCAATTAATGCATAAGTGCATAACCAAGCTTTTCTTGTCCATGGATATCTTTCCTGTCCTTGAATTGATGTATTTCTATATCTTGTTATTTTCTAGGGTTGACTACAAAAAAGCTTAAGAACTGCCATAAAATATCTTTAGAAACTAATTATATGTGGGCCCCTGAGGGAGCTGCTATAATATGTTTTACCTCAGGTATTCAATCTTCTTTCTGAATGCTTCAACTTCCAAGTGTCCTATTATACCTACTCGCCGATGCCTTTCTTTTCTTTCTAAATGGCAATCCACAACAGGAACCACTGGCAAACCTAAGGGAGTTACTTTAAGCCACTCTGCTTTGATAGTACAGTCCCTTGCAAAAATCGCAATTGTTGGTTACCGAGAGGATGATGTATGTCTCCATGTGTTAAAAGAAAAGATAAGATGCCCGTTCAAACCACAAATGATGCATCCTGTAATATTCTTGAATTAATGCTCTAGCAATTCTTACAGGTGTATTTACACATGGCTCCACTTTGCCACATTGGTGGAATGTCATCTGCCATGGCTGTGTTAATGGCTGGAGGCTGCCACATTTTAATACCCAAATTTAATGCTGGATTGGCTGTTGAATCCATTCACCAATATGCTGTCACCTCTTTAATTACTGTTCCAGCTATGATGACTGATCTAGTATCATTTTACAGGTATGCAAGGTGGCCTTTAGTCTTTAACATTATAATAATATATATTTGGAGTATATGGGGGTAATTGGTAAAATTCTATGCCCATTTACATCTGGATGCCTTCTTGAAACCTTCCCTAGCAATATTGATGAGTGAATATATTGGAGTACTAATTACTAACTTGCTCACTGTTAGGATGTTCCCTGCTTAATAACTTCACCTTTACATGTGCAGAGTGATTTAATAATGCTGTACATTTTTAGTTAGGGACTTAGGGGTAATTTGAGTTTGCACCCCATTTTATTGTCTTAATTGGACTTTGCACCCTGTTTTTAAAAATCTTTGTTTTTGCACCCCCAACCCCATATGAAAAGACAGAAATGCCCCTCCATTAACAATTTTGTTGGCCTTCAACATATTATTAATCGAGGGGCATTTTTGTCTTTTCGTGTGGTGTTGGGGTGCAAAAACAAAGATTTTTAAAAATAGGGTGCATAGTCTAATTTGAACAATAAAATAGGGTGCAAACTCCAAATACCCCTTTTAGTTAATAATATATGATAAAGTTGGAATCTTTCCTATCATTGTAATGGAGAGCAAGAGAACACATTTATTTAGCGCACCATCACCGTTTTGAAATTCCATTTCATGTTTTAAAAATTTCTACAGCAGAAAAGGGGAATCGGAAGGGTCACCAACAGTGAAGAAGATACTTAATGGGGGTGGAGCTCTTTCAGTTGAGCTTATCAATCATGCTGCCAAAATATTCCCAAGAGCTAAACTAATATCCGCGTACGGTATGTACTGTATTATTTCAGTAAAAAAGATGGGTTCACACACAATATTAGGTCAATTTATTATAACTTATAAGTGGTCAGCTGTTCAGGCAATGTGGTTTTCATTTTTATGTACTTTCAAGGGAAGGAGTGATATTGGTGAAAGGGGCTATTAGGGACTGAATTAAAATTTGGTAGGATAAGGGCATGACGTGTTAAAGCCCCAATGACTCAATGAGTGAAGGATGCGAAAATGGAATGTCATTACCTAAAGCTCTTGTTTCGAGTGCTTCTAGAGGGATGGAGAGCATTGAAGCTTAACTGTAAAGAATAATGTAGTTTTATGGACTCAGGACACAGAGATTGTTATCTATCAATTCGGGGTCCGAAAGATGAAAGATACCGATCTAAGAGTCTAAGATCCTCTTAGTATTTCTGAATTGGAATTAGCATATGCAACAAAAAACACCCACTCAAACACACGTACAAATGAAAAATGCCCAATTTGTCCATTTAGCAGGTTGCCTAATGCCTACAGATATCCAGGAATCACCATCGCATCACCTCCAAGTCACAGCCACATTCTCCTAAACCTTACCAACTCATCATCTCATGAATTTATTTCATTTTTTTTCATTTCTTTCTTTTCATGCCATAATTGGCCAACATGGAGAAGGTACGGTACCTTGAGGTTACCACAGAATTTGTCATATTCATTCCATCCCCAAGGTCTTGCCAGCATTCATGTCATCTCAGAATTTTCGGCAACCTTGAGGGAGAAAAAGAAAAAAAAAATCATGCGTTTTAGTTTCTCTATTACTCCCCAAATTCATAAGAAATGGCAGGAAAAGAGAACTGAAACATGCAAGTCCAATCCATGACCTACTATAATAAGCTATTTTCTTATACTTCCAGTTTATTTGGGCTGGATGCGGTGGAGTGTAGGGTGGTCATGGTCACAGGCGATGCAGTGGAGGTGTAGGGGATGTGCTAGATGCCATGGAGGGTGGAGGCAATGGATGCAGAACACAAAATGGTGTATCTGGGAGAAGAAAGAGAAAAAAAGAGAAGGGAAAGTTAAATCATCATCATTATTCTTACCCTTGTGCTAAAGCACAAAGAGACTGTTTCCGAGAATTGCATAGATTGACTGCTGCTTCATAACAAAGAAGCGCAGACAGTTTAGTGAGCCATTTTTCTTGTGCAGCCACTTGTGTAGCCATGTAGAAGAAAGATTGGTTGCTTTTTTAAGTTCATGTGTTTAATTGGATGTTTTTTGGGTGCGGGGGCAAGAGATAGCCGTTGTGAAGATAGCAAGCGAAACTATTTGACATTTTTGTGTTTAATATATAATCGGCTAAGAAAGTTTTTAAAAAATGGGTTATTGATAATTAACCTATCTTTTGGGTCTTGAATCAATAGACCCCAATATTTATCTATTCTGCAGAACCTTACAAGGATTGGGATTTTATGGTCACATACAAGCAGCGTGTGATTGAGATTTCAGTTCTTTTGTATGGAATTATAGCCTTTCCAAGTATTTATATTCCTTGATACCTTGATTCAGACATGAATGATGTTATATTTCAAAAATGTGAAGGGATGACAGAGGCTTGCTCTTCTATGACATTCAAGACTCTCTATGACCCAGCAAAAGAAAGTGTGAGACGCGCGCTCCAATTAAATAATGATAGGGACTCCAATTTGGCAAGGCAACAAGAGGGCATCTGTGTTGGAAAGCCTGCCCCACATGTTGAATTAAGAGTTTGTGCTGAGAGTTCATCTCGTAATGGGAGGATACTAACACGAGGCTCTCATGTAATGCTTGGATACTGGGGCCAGATATCAAACAAGACTTCCAAACTTGCTGGTGAAAACTGGCTTGACACAGGTGACATTGGTCATATAGATGACCATGGCAATATCTGGCTCATTGGGCGTTCCAAGGGTCGAATCAAGAGTGGAGGAGAAAATGTTTATCCTGAAGAAGTAAGTCGTCTTCATTGTCACCACTTTCAAGTTTCATCACAACTATGTTGGGGTCTTTGTCATATTACACTATAAATTCATGCAAAAAACCATATAACATTAGTATCTGCCTCTAGATGAGATGATACATAAAGCCACATAGGCTAGAAATAATTGAAAACTTGTTATGAAGCTAGAAATTATATTGCTTATTATAATAATAATAATGGGCTAGTATGGTTAATTTGCTATGTAGTTTTTAAAATCGCATATGTGCTGATTAACTTGGCATTCTGTAGTATTTCTTCCACACAAACAGATGAATACTAAGTAATGCCAAAAGGCTAGAATGCTTTGTGCAATCCCTAATAAATCTGCAACACTGGCAGTTCAGGTTTTAAAATAAATAAAAAAGTCTTGCCTATACTACTATGAGCCAGGCTTCTTCTACACATTTTTTGTACACATTTGTTGTACACACTGCCTAGTTGCCTGTGTACACAGGAGCTTCTGAACGAGATGCATAAGTAAAAACAACTAGGGGGTGGTGTACAACAAATGTGTACAAATTGGGAGATTTCAACAAGTAGGACCAAATCATACTAATTTTCCAAAATTAAGACTATAGATTAGGGTAAGACTTAAGTACACCTTCTTTGACTAAATTGCCCTTTTTCTTTCAACACTTGCCCGACGTTTAAAAGAATTCGGCCGTCCCAAATGAGAATTCACGCAACAGAGCAGGTCCTTTACCTTGGTCTTCCCGGCCAGGCTTCTACTCCGCCGCCGCCACCTCCGTTAGCTCGGTTTTGCCTCCACCATCGACAATGCCTCTCTTCGCCGGTTTCGCCTTCACCATCGACACCTCTCTTCTCCGATTTCTAATACTCAAGTGAATATCAGGTTTTTGGCTCTTCTTCATCCTCGTCTTCTTCTTCTTCTTCTTCATCCTCCTCTTCCGATCTTTTCCTTCTCATCCTACAGCATCCTCATTCGTCCTCTTTTTTCTTCTTTCAACTTTTTTTTTTGTTTTCCATCTAAGATCTAAAATCATAGATCCGAAAATGCAAGGAATGGATCTGATTTTAAGATCCAGAAACATAGATCCAAAATGCAAGGCTTTGGCCTGTGTTTAAGATCTGAAAAGATAGATCCGAACATGGATTTCAATAATTGGTTTTGGAATTTTTTTTAATCAAACATTTTAATTCTTCTTTTCTGATTTTGGACATTTTGTTAATTTCGAACTTCTATTTCATATTTTTACAACGCCACAGGTACTCTGCAAAACGTTTGAAGAAACCAGATCCAAAATCAAACTTGCAAACACAAGACAATACATAGACATTAAGTGGTCAGTAAACAGACAATAAGTTCTAATAATAGTTCAATAGCAGGCAATACATAGACACTAAGTAGTCATTAAACAGACAATAAATTTTGATAATAGCTCAATAGCAGAGCTGGTCACGTAAAACGGTAAGTGAAGGGTAAAATTGGAAGTTTAAAATCTAGTTTTCAAAAATAGAACTACATGGCTCTTATGCAAGGAAAAAACGTACGTAGGTACTATTTTTATAAAAATGCTATGATTGAGTCCTACTGGAAGCAATTTTCTCGTACAAATTATGTGTACAAATGACTTTTTCCTATACTACTATAATGTTTACTTGTCTGTGCATGTTACAACCTGCCGATAGAACATAAGATGAACTCTTTTTTGGTTGTTATGTGATCATAAAGAATTGTATGTGGCAGCCAGCCTCAAGCCCTCCAACAAAAATAACCATATTTGTCTTGTGCAAAAGGTAGAGGCTGTCCTGTCACAACATCCTGGTGTTTCTGGCAATGTAGTTGTTGGACTTCCAGATTTGCGCTTGGGAGAGATGGTTGTTTCCTGCATTCAGCTCAAATGCAATTGGCAGTGGGATGATTTAAGTTCCAGCCCTCCATCAGTTAACTACTTGTCTGCTGACATCCTCCGCTGCTTCTGTAAAGAAAAACAGTTGACTAGGTATGTCTTTACTCCATCATCTGCACCTTTGTAACATTTGGAATATATATCAGAGCATTTGATGCATGATATCTTTCTTTTAGTCGTTGATGCTAAAATCTTTCCCAGGTTTAAAGTACCAAAAAGATTTATTAGGTGGAGGAATCAGTTTCCAGTGACGACAACAGGCAAAATAAAAAGAGACCTAGTCAGAGCAGAACTCATGTCTAATATGCAGTCAATGTCCAGCAAATTATAGAACATTCTTTCCTGCAGTCTGTAATAGATTATAGAGAAAAGGGTCAATTAGACCCTTCCACAATTGTACTAATCACATTAGTCAAAGAAACGGATGATGACCATTTTTGATCGGTCATTTGACCATTAATTCATATTTTTTCTTTTTCCTTTTCTCTTTACTCTCTCATTCTTCTTCCTTTCTCTTTCTTAGTGGCATGTTTGTCCTACTCCCCCTTAATTCTTCTCCGTCCTTTTTATATTCTTATCATTACTTTATCTTTTTCTTTTTCTTCGTTTTCACCTGTTTCGGCTCTCACCAAGCCACCACCTTCGTTGATAGCATCCTGAATCTCCATGGACGAAAGAGACCTTGGGTAGATGTACTTCATCAAAGTAGGGAGCACTTGTTTCATCACCTTATGCATGCACGCGCCTCAGCTATGTACTCTTCTCCCACTCCCACTCCCACTGTCATCCTCTTTCTTTTCCTTCTTTGTGGCGGCTTTTTCAGCAGCGGGTTATCATTATTCTTTTATTCAGTGGAGATCGGCAATTGATTATGGAGATATTCTTTAGCCGACGGAGTTGACACTACTTCCACAGTTGTTCCACTTGTTCCTTTTCATTGGATATAGTATGGGGCTGTTCCTGGTTGTAGAACAATGCTTCTTCGCTGCAGAACACAATCGGAGTAGAAAGATACCAGGAATGATACTCTCCTACACACATACATCATGCCTTCGGCCAAACAGCAGCCAGCACATGCATAGAGAAGTTCTATCACCATTTTGTTGGATTATACCTTCCGTATTTTCTTTAGGGTGTGTTTGGGAGCCAAACCGGGCCGAGCCGGGCCTAACCGGTTCTATTTTTTTTTTTGGCTCTTCTATTTTACCCCCAACCCCTCCCCCTCAACACCAAACCACCCCAAACCACCTCAAATGGCCCACAATACCTAATCCAACCCAAAACTTAAAAAAAATTCAAAAAAAAAAAAAATTAAAAACCGGCCCGAACCGGCCGGGCCGGTTCACCAAAAACTGGGCCCGAGCCCGGACCGCCCAGCAGCCGGGCCGGTCCGAACCGAACCGGTGGACCCACCGGGCCCCGGGCCGGGCCGGGCCAAACAGTAACCGGGCCGGGCCGGTTCCGAGCCGAGTCCACCCCTATTGGGAGTTTATAAAATTGGAGAGAATGGTTTTGGAGGGCTTTCGTGACCCCAAAAACCTACAAGTGCTCAATTTTTAAGTTCCCCCAATTTGGAGGGTTTTGAAGCATAATTAACGAAATGATAATTTATGCTCAATTAAAAATAAATATCAGTTCAATTATTTGAATTCGTCATATCTCAAATTGATTTTAATTTAAATTTATTCAAAAACTCTCTTTTTCACATTTATTACTCCCAAATACAAAGGACTTCCTCGCCCTCCCCTTCCTTTCCCCTCCAACAACATACCTCCAAAGTCTTCCCCTCCCTTCCTAACTCCCAAGCATACCCTTAGGTGAGGGCCAAACAACACGAACTTGTATACCTTGAAAACCGTTGAGAAAAAAATATAATTACATCCATCCCGTTTAAAAGTTCCAATTACAAAATGACACGATTGTTTAAACAATAATTAAATTATGTAATTCGTGTATATTTTGAGAAATATGTAGTAATTTTAATAGATACATAATATAACGAGTTTAATGGTGATAATTGTGATGTTATAGATGTATTATTTTTAATATTTAATGATTAAATTGTTATTTAAGAGTGTTAATGGTTTCCTAAAATGGAAATGAAAACATTTATATGGAACATCCAAAAAGGAAAACGAGAACCTTTATATGGAACGAAGGGAATACTATGTTGGTTATTACTAGGGATGGCAATGGGGCGGGTTTGGGGCGGGGGTACACTCCCCCATCCCCCGCCCCATGTCTAAAAAGTTCCCCTCATCCCCGCCCCATCCCCCGTTACTCCCATCCCCGCCCCACCCCATTGTCCCCCACGGGTGCCCACGGGTGTCCCCATATAGATTTAATTTATCGTATTTGCATATACTTTTAATCTCTTATAATCTTATTATAAATATATGTAGTGCGATTCCAATGAAAATGATGCTTAACGTGGAACACTCACATTTAATCCAATGTGATACACAATATAGTCATTCTAGTGAACATTTGGACTTCGCTCAATACAAAAAGTGCATTGTGCAAGCCATTGTGCTTCAAATTGGGGGTAAATGTGGTGTTTGCACGTTCTCATGTTAAACGTTGTTCTCATTTGATCCTAAGCCTATATATATCTACGCGCGCACAGTGATATATGATACACACACGCAACACTAAAGTATTGTGTTTGTTAAAAATTAATACCACCAATTTTAATAATTCTTCAATTTGAATAAGTTTTGTGAATTGAAGACAATTAAAATAAAAATATGAGTAAACATATTATCATCATGTACGTTGTTTCAAATTCTAAACAATTATAATACAATTAATTACATATTATATTACATATAAATGTGTGCGTATTTATTTACTCACTTTCTCACTCTTAAAACTCATATGCGGAGTAACATTTTTAATCATCACTAATTTATTATTATTCTAGTATAATATGTATTAATTCATTAATCATGATTAAACCGTATACAATTATGTATGTCTATATGTATATGCGTTTGTTATATACTACATATAATTTAGGAAAAATTTAAAATAATAATCCCAACTATTGCTGGTCCGCTGAAAATAATCCCAACTATTGATTATTTTTGTATAATCCCAACTATATAGACTATCCGCCAATAATGGTCCATAACCATATATTATCTCTATAAAAAGTGAATTTTAAATAGAAATTAAGCATAAAAATTAAAAGTTGAGATTATTTATAGGGATTACTTGTTAGATCTCATCTCATCCACTTTAGAAACTACAAGAATTTATTCATAGGGACCATTATTGGCGGAAGGTCCCTAAAGTTGGGATTATTCTGTAATAATCAATAGTTGGGATTATTATGAGCGGACCGCCAATAGTTGGGATTATTACTATCATTTTTTCCTATAATTTAATTTAATATGTGTGTACATTATTTATATATGTGTATATATATGTTTGAGTATATATTTATAACAGGGCGGGGCGGGGGCGGGACGGGGACGGGGCGGGTGTAGCAATACCCGTCCCCCGCCCCATATTTTAACGGCGTAAAAATATTTCACCCATCCCCGCCCCAAGCCCCGCCCCATCCTTCCCCCGCGGGGCGGTTCCCCACGGGTCCCCGCCCCCATTGCCATCCTTAGTTATTACTTAAAATGGGAACAAAAAACAATATCGTATCTCAAAGTTTTAGTTATTACATCCAAGGACTAAAACGAGGTTAAACGAGCATAAACAACCTCTTTATGTAACAATACATTTTCTCGCTCTGTTCCTTTTATGAGATGAAGTAGAATGAAATGTAGAATAAAACGTAGGGTCTGTTTGGTATCACTGAAATCGGCTACGTAGTTGAATTTGCTGAAATTGATAAGGTTTTGCCTGAAATTGGCTGGATTTGCTGAATAATGGGGAATTCAAAGTAGTGGTAATAAAAATATATAAAAAAATGAAAAATAGTTAAAATGTGTTGGGTTCCCTCCTTAATTGAAAAGTTAATGAGAACAACTCTAGAATACCATGAAGATGTCTAGAATTCTCTAAATGTGCGTGGAGAAGGATTGAACGTTCTAGAATATTCTAGATCTTTCTAGAGAGGCGTGGAATTATATACAAGCGTGTGGAAGAGCGTAGAATGTTCTAGAACATTGTCGAGTTTCCTATAGAGTGTGGAATTCTCTAGAATCGTGTGGAAGTGTGTGGAAGCCTCTAGAACATTCTCAAACAGTGTGGAGTTATCTAGATCCTTCTAGAAGATTAGAGAACCTTGTGGGGGTAAATGTGGTGTTTGCACGTTCTCATGTTAAACGTTGTTCTCATTTGATCCTAAGCCTATATATATCTACGCGCGCACAGTGATATATGATACACACACGCAACACTAAAGTATTGTGTTTGTTAAAAATTAATACCACCAATTTTAATAATTCTTCAATTTGAATAAGTTTTGTGAATTGAAGACAATTAAAATAAAAATATGAGTAAACATATTATCATCATGTACGTTGTTTCAAATTCTAAACAATTATAATACAATTAATTACATATTATATTACATATAAATGTGTGCGTATTTATTTACTCACTTTCTCACTCTTAAAACTCATATGCGGAGTAACATTTTTAATCATCACTAATTTATTATTATTCTAGTATAATATGTATTAATTCATTAATCATGATTAAACCGTATACAATTATGTATGTCTATATGTATATGCGTTTGTTATATACTACATATAATTTAGGAAAAATTGAAAATAATAATCCCAACTATTGCTGGTCCGCTGAAAATAATCCCAACTATTGATTATTTTTGTATAATCCCAACTATATAGACTATCCGCCAATAATGGTCCATAACCATATATTATCTCTATAAAAAGTGAATTTTAAATAGAAATTAAGCATAAAAATTAAAAGTTGAGATTATTTATAGGGATTACTTGTTAGATCTCATCTCATCCACTTTAGAAACTACAAGAATTTATTCATAGGGACCATTATTGGCGGAAGGTCCCTAAAGTTGGGATTATTCTGTAATAATCAATAGTTGGGATTATTATGAGCGGACCGCCAATAGTTGGGATTATTACTATCATTTTTTCCTATAATTTAATTTAATATGTGTGTACATTATTTATATATGTGTATATATATGTTTGAGTATATATTTATAACAGGGCGGGGCGGGGGCGGGACGGGGACGGGGCGGGTGTAGCAATACCCGTCCCCCGCCCCATATTTTAACGGCGTAAAAATATTTCACCCATCCCCGCCCCAAGCCCCGCCCCATCCTTCCCCCGCGGGGCGGTTCCCCACGGGTCCCCGCCCCCATTGCCATCCTTAGTTATTACTTAAAATGGGAACAAAAAACAATATCGTATCTCAAAGTTTTAGTTATTACATCCAAGGACTAAAACGAGGTTAAACGAGCATAAACAACCTCTTTATGTAACAATACATTTTCTCGCTCTGTTCCTTTTATGAGATGAAGTAGAAT